CTGAAGAGATACAATTCTGTCTCAACATAAACTCTCTTCTTTTCTGCTTCTAATTACATCTAGAAATTACGTTTGCAGTTACAGAACAATAGATGGAAGAAAACCATAAAGACTTTTTTATTTCAGAATAAAAGGGAAATCAATTCAATTATAAATACCCGTAATGGACTTTTTGATAAACTAATATCCTTTTTCCCATTATTTGCTAAAGTGGATTCTTTTAAGTTTTAAATTAATTTGACAAGTAGCCACAGGATTTTTGGTGTAGTAACACTAGTTATAAAGAGCAAACTAAATGCAGGATGAAAATCTATTAACAGGCTCCTTAGTTGCCATGAAATCAGAGAACTGTAATGTAAGGCATACATAACTGATTTTTAATGTAAAAATTGGCATGACTTTGTTGCTGAACCTGTGATTTGGAGAAGACCCATGTCTCACAGAAATTACTATTTTTCTTCTTGCTGGCTTTTACTTTGGATAGTAACAGCCAAAGATGCAGTTGCCAAGAGTCAAAAGTTATTTCCTAGATTAACTTAAAGCCAAGAGAAGCCATGCCAAATGAAAGGATCCCTTATGATCAGGCAACAGAGGAGAGGGCAAGAGATGGGCAAGGAAATGCAAGACCCAGATTTCCTACTCTAGTTCTTTGGCCAGAGTTGACTTTTCCCATTCAGTCCAAGCATCTCAAGAAGGTCTACTGAAAGTACCCTGTAGCTACTCTACTAGGAATATGTGATATCTGAATGAGATCACAAGCCTTGTTATAGAATATGCTTCTCTGAGGTATTCTTCGACCTTGTTTTTCTCAGAGAACTAAAAACACTTTTGTTCTGCCAACTATTGTACTCAGTAACTGAACTGAGGGATTTGAATATTCTGTGTGCATGTTTTGTTCTGCATTGTTATTCTTGTTCTTTTTTAATTTTATTGTTTACTTGCTTGCACTTTGTACTATGCTAACTGGAGACTTATAGTGAGATAGTCTATACATCTTGTAAATGCATAAATAAATAAACAAATTGACTATAACTTGCCTAGAAACTCATTAATTTAATGAAGCAGCTAGCAGACAAATTTCTCCGAACAAAAAACTGCCTGAAGTGTTCACTTTTTGTAAGCAAAGCTTCTTATTTAAACCTGATCTTCCAGATCTCAAGAAATAAAATTCTTGCCTGTGCTGTTCCCAAGATAATAATTCCCATGAGTTATCTGCATTTCCTGCATGGTTCATCATACTCATGGCCCACTCATACTCCTGAGTTCAGGAACTAATATTGTCATTTCCCTCCAACTCCCAGACCACCACAAATGCACCTCATGCTGGCCTTTTTTCAGCTGTATTTCAAAATTGCTGTTTTCTAACCCAAGTCTTTTTAAACCCCACAGAGTATTTCCAGCATTCTAGGAGAAGTCCCAGCTCTAAGTTGGCTGCAGTGCCTTCTTTTCCAAGTGCTGGCTGCTGCCCTGGGCAGCCATTTTGTCTTAGTTTGCTGGGCTGTTATGTTTTCATCTGGTCAGCAATTGCTATTTTTTATAATATTGTGGTTGTTAAAATAATGTCTTGTTAACTCAACAATTAACGAATACTAACAGAGAACATCTGATTAGTGAAACTCATGAAAATTTAAACCTCACATAATGTTGTTGGTCTAAAAAGGTGGTACCAGACTCTTTCTGAGTTTTGTAGGTTGATTTTTAAAATTTGACATGACACTGAGATAGTCTGGCAAATAATAATGATTTCCAGCCTAGTATACTAATGTGGATAAAAGAAAGGAATCATACAGAGTCAGATATATGAGCTCTAAAGGACCCTCTCTATTCACATTATTAAAAGGGGAAGATGTGCTTAGATACATGAACTCTGAGAGAACCTCTCTATTCACATTATTATAAGATAGAAAAGTGCTTGTTGGAAATTACATTAACAAACAGTTAAACCTCATTAAGTGGTAATATATCTTCTGATGAGACCTAGATGTCACGAAAGGACAGCCATATGGAAAACATCTGAGTGACCTCACTATGAATGACACAAAGACATATATGTTATAAAGAGTTACTTAATCCAGTAAATTTACCTAAGGACAGCAGTAAATTTCCCATTAACAATTACAAGCAACTAATGGTTTAGTAATTAGATGAACATATTATCAAATGTATGTAACCATATAGGGAAAATCGGATGTATGATCTCATGTTAACCATATATGGAAAATGTATGATCTCACTGAATCCTTTGTCTTAGAAATGTATAAAAACAGAGATATCACAGCTCTTGGGTTGTTCAAAGCTTCAGGTACAAAACTGGCTCTGAACCTTGCGCAATAAAACTGTATCTGGCTGACCCAGGAATGTTGTTTGGTCCCTTCATTCTGCAACATTTATGGCACCCCAGATGGGACTAAGGAACAAAGACCTTTTGTTCTGCCTGACAGGCTGCCCCAGTGGGAACCGACGCCTCCCCAAGGAAAATCCACTGGCCGGCCATTAGGACTCCTTTGAAGTCTACGGAATCTTTCGGTGGGGGGGTGCCGTGAAATCGCTGGCGAGAAGACTAGTCAAGGATTCGCAAGGTCAGCCAGACACAGAGACCTCAACAACAACAAAAAAAGGAAAAGAAAAAAAAAGAAAAAAAAGTCCAAGAGGGAAGGAAAACGCCTGCAGGTAAGTATAAGTCAGGGAGTTCAAGTCTCTCTGTTAAGAAGTACCCACCAATTTAGTGGTAAAGTGGGGGCCTGATCACCCCCCTAGGAGACAAGGCATCGTCCTCAAGTCTCCTGTTGAGAGTTCAAGTCTCTCTGTTAGGATTGTGTGGGTGGTTAAACCCTTGCGGTTCTCATTGACGACTGTCGGAACATCCAGGGTCGTGAGCCAAGGATAGTGTTGTTAGGATGGGTGGTAGTAGTATTGATCAGTGGAAGACTAAAAGAGAGACCCCCTTGATTAATCAAGTGTCAGGCAGAGTTTGCTAGGATCTGTTTGATGAAATCTAAAGAGAGGGGAGAAAGAAAACCTTATGCAATAAAAGTTTAAAAAAATGTGTGTGATCTTATGTGTGGTAAGAGAAAAGAACTAATTGCAGTGTTATAAACATTCTGATAAATTACCATTCTTAAAAAGCCAGAGAACTCTGAAAGAACTAAGAATAAAGAAGAAATTGTTCTTCCCACCCGGGGTTTAGCAGGTAGTAAAAAGGTAAAGCCTGTCTAAATGGGAAGACTCAAATAATTTGACTTGATCAATTTGGTGTGATTTCTGTTAAAAAAAATTCCTGGATGTGCATCTATAATGATAGTGTGTAAAATTGAATGGGATTGAATTGATTGTGATATGTTTGGCCGGCCAGCAAATTAAGTAAACTTGTGCTTGAAGCTGTGGGAAACAGGCAGTGGTTAGGGCCCAAAATCACATTTGTAATTAAAACTGCTCTCTGAGTTTTCCCACTCCTTTAAGAATAAGCTATAGGTTGCCCAAGGAAATAAAATTAAAAACAAAAACAAAAACAACCTCCACAGGTCTGGAAATGTTTGATGATATGTGTGCATGTGTATGTATGTAATTATTTCCAAACCTGCAGGGAAGATGAAATCCTCTAATAATAGTGGCTTGTGAAAAACCTCCCTGAAATAATTTGGTTTGCATGGAGGAAGTATTAAATGAAATTTTTGTACGTGAAATTGGCTTATACAAGAAGTCTGATTGCAGTACAAATGTGAATGTGTGTTTGTGAAGTGTCCCGAAGCTCATAAGGAGTGATAAAGTGAAGTGATCTTGAGCCCTGTGAATGCTTGTGTGTTGAGGATGTGGGAGACTAGAGAGAAATGCAGAAAGTGTTGCTTTGTTGAAAGAATGCTGAGTGAAGGGGGGAGTGAGGCTTGTCTGCTTGCTTTAAAACATTTTTTTCCCTCTTCCCTGTATTCCGGACCCCCCCTTCCTTTGGAGGAGAGAAGCAGGAAAAGGGTAGGCTGCGGGCTTTTGTTCTTTTCATCATCTTTCTCTCTCTGCTGAACCAGTCTGAGAAAGGAGGGGAACGTGGGTGATCGGCTCATGCAGTTTTGCCGCTGGCTGTTTCGGTCTCTTTAATTTGCATATAAAAGCTATACAGATATATTTTCTTTTCTGCTCTGAATACAATTTTGATTTTATTTTTTTCTGGAAATTTTTGAGGTTTAAAACACTTAATTAAACCTATATAAAAGAAATGATTTTGTAAGATATTTTGAATCTGACTTGCATTTTACTAAAGGCAGAGAATTGATGCTAAAGTTTGATCCAAATATATTTCAGATTTGTTTGTTTGCTTGTTTGTTTGTTTGTTTGTTAGCAGCATAAGTGGTTTCCCTTTTAGAAATTGTTACAAAGATAGGTTACAATAGTAGAAGGGAGAGAGAAAGTTTTAGTGGAAGCCAGAAAGTTGCCTTTAAGTTGGTCTGCACAGACTTGTGCTGACTTGGAAGTCAGGATAGCAGAGGTAGGAAGAATTGAATGTTTTATATGAAGAAGGAGTTACAGAAAGTAGAATTGATGGAAGAGAGAAGGTATGTGATTTGTTTTTGGAAGGTTATGGATGTTGTGGATTGCATAACCTTTGGACGGGGAAGGAAGAAAGGAATGTGAGAGTGGAACCAAGTGATAATGGGAAGAAGTGATGATATGGGCAGGGAAGACAGCGTTAAAGACTGCCCGATCCAAAGAAGAGGAAGTGGTGTCTTTAATTGACAGAGATCAGATTAAGTGGACAAAGCATTAGAATACACTTAATTAGTGAAGGGAGTAGGAAAATCATTCCTGATAGAATAGAAGGGGTGGCATCTCAGCCTCTATCTATAAACAAGCAAGAATTAAGGTAATTCTTAAGTTTGGTTGGATATTGCAGACTCTGGATTGATGAGTATGCTGATTTTACCAAACCCCTGTATGCAAAATTAATTGCATCTGGACCTTGGAGTTTGAAATGGGAGAGACACGAAAGAAGAAGCCTTAAAAATTCGAAACAAGCTTTAACCAAGGCTCCTGTATTAAGTTTACCAAATTTGGAAAAGCCATTCCATCTCTTTGTAAACACAAAAAATTGAATTGCACAAGGGGTGTTAGCTCAGAAAGTAGGAAATTGACCTTTGGGGGAGCCCTTATTATAAACACCCCACATCAAGTCAGAACCATCCTTCAGCAAAAAGCGGGGCGGTGGTTAACTGATTCCAGAATTCTAAAAAAAAAAAAAAGAAAAAGAAACAATTTTAATGCAGCAGACAGACTTGATTTTAACTACAGATCACAATTTGAATCAAGCACAGTTCTTAGCCAACACCAGATCAATGGATCAGTTTGGATTAGAACATTATGGTGCTGAAGTTATTGATTTACATACAAAAATAAGACCTGATTTGGAGGAACACCCTCTGGAGAAAGGAGAAGCAATTTTTATAAATGGTTCCTCTAGGATGGAGGAGGGAGTACGGAAAAATGGATATGCTATAAAAGAGATCCTGGAAGTAAGGGGTTTGCCTCGAAATTGGTCTGCTCAAACCTTTGAATTGTATGCAATAAATTAAGCTCTATGGATAGGGAGCTTGGATAGCTCAGTAGACAAATGCATTGTAATTTAACTCCAGCTCTCTGTAATTAGTAAGTTCAAATCTCACCAGGCTCAAAGTTGACTCAGCCTTCCATCCTTTCTAAGGTAGGTAAATTGAGGACCCAGTTTGTGGGGGCAATAAGCTGACTTTGTAAAATATACAAAAGTATGAAGGCTATTGCTTAATGCATTGTAACCCTGAGTCTCCAGAGAAGGGCGGCACATAAATCAAATTTTTTTTAAAAAGGGGGGGGGGTGCTCTATGCATCTTGGAAGGAAAAATAGGCAGATTCCACGTATACATTTGAGATAGTGCATTCATTTGGCAAAATATGGGTGGAGTCATTGGGGAATTCAAGCTATTGTAGATGAACTTTTAAAAAGCTATGGTTGTATTGGGATATATCCTTTAGCAAAATCAATTATAAACAAATGTTTGATTTGTAAAAAGGTGAATAAACAAGCTGTCAGGAAACAACAGATGGGTGGGAGACCACCAGCTTTAAGACCATTTCAATGTATTCAAGTGGATTTTACAGAATTACCAAAAGTGGGGAGAGTAAAATATTTATTGGTCATAGTGGACCACCTCACAGGGTGGGTTGAAGCTTTTCCCTGCAGTAATGCTACAGCAACAATAGTGTCAAGAATTTTATTATACCCAACCTAGAAAGATTATCATCATATGAACTGTTGTTTGGAGTAGTTTTCACTACAGCAAGCATATGCATTGATTCCCTGGAAACCAGAGACAAAGTATTGAAACAATATGTGTATAAACTGTCCAGATATTTTGAAGTTCTTAGGAAACAAGGACTATTAGCCAAACACCACCTTTGAAGTTTCCAGTCCATAAATTCCACCATGATGATTGGATGTTGATCTGGAGCTGGAAGGAAGTTAAACCCCAAGTGAAAGGGCCCGTGCCAGCCCCAAAGGAGTGGAAGGTGGAATCTCACCAAGGAGATCCATTGAAGTTGATGATCCAAAGAACCCAATGGACTGGTGGGCAGTAACCAGTGGGAATAGTATTCTTCCTCATCTGGACTATTTTTGTATTTTTTTCTTTCTTAGGATTGAGTGGTTGCCTATGCTGTTTCTCAACTGAAGAGGACTACAACTGATCAGATTCCATTGCGCGCTCTCCCAGATGTATTGGTTTTGTAATTGTGCTTTTAAGACCTTAGAAGGAAGATCCTGGATCCATTGGATGAGACTGAAGCCTGCAGACCAGAATGATCCAGTCACATACCAGGTAACAAAAACTGACAGGCCATTGGTGCTGAAGTTCAAGAAGAATACACCCTGCTGAGTCTTACCGGCAACAGACTCTCAACGCACGGTGGTGATCGTCAGCCTTGCTGAACCACCCCGGAAGCTGGTTCCCCGCGCACGGCTGAAGCTTGGAACAGAGGAAGACAACATTCCATGACTGTAATTTGTAATGTAAAACTCATTAACTGAATAGAATCCAGTGAACAATTCTTAAAGACACTCATGTTTGAGGAAGATTGGGTGTGGGGACTCTGGGCAACAACTATTTTAGCCCTTCTGGTGGTATTGTTATATATATATAAGGATCAGCTCTGTGGGAGACCTAGGAATACAATTGATATTGCCCTACCCCAAGTTACGCATACCCCTAACCCTCTTCCTGATGTGGTGAATTTATAAACGATGGGTCTTGCGCTCTTAAGGCCTTGTGGGTGTAGGAATAAAGTCATTATGATTTATTTAGGGCTCTTGGTACTATTAGCCAAGGGACTAGTGAGTGATACTATCTTGAACAGTAGTTCCCAATGTTGTGTGGGTGTCCGAGAAATCCCCCTTGTCCATGAGGAAGGATCTAGAAATATTAAGAACCCCAAGCAACCGACCAGCATCAGGCCACTAAGTAGAGATACTTTAGACCAAGTCCGCTCCCGCCAATGACGGATCATCAGTAGGTGGGGTCATTACTTTAGACCTGCGCTGACTCCAAAACCTAATGTCAAAAGTTTGACAATCCCAGTAAAGGGAGGAATAGAAAAGGAGAACGGGCCCCTGCAACAATTGAGAAGATGAGACTACATATCAAGGATACTGGAATTGGGTCAAAACCTTGTTAATCAGTATGACCCTACCTTAGGTCAACAATGCTGGTTGTGTTTATCTGCCAGCCCTTCATCTTATCATGCCGTTCCTGTCAAGCCACAACTCTGGGCTAGGACAAAGGCTACAATAGTCCTTGAAAAAGATAGTAGAAATAAAGCACCAGTATCTCTGATACAAGGAGATTTTTATGAGGCATTCCAACGGCTGGGAAAAAGCCGCCTCCCTATTGCTGGCCCAATAGCCACAGGTGTGGAACTCATAGGGACACCTTCCCTGTGTGTAAAGAGACATCAGAAACCTGGTAGGCCTGTAGAATCCCTGACAGAAGAACAATGTCCATCAGAAGTGTACCTTGGTTCTAGAACGAACTTTAAGGATGTAAAACTAACCAAAGATCTTTTTCCTTCTGCACACCACTCAGTTCACCATAAGGTCACTTTCTCATTACCACCAACTGCCACTATCACAAGATGGGGAGGATGGAAGAGGTCCTGGAATATATCCAAGGAAAGGTGCCCCAGTCTATTCCAGCTCCCTCGCTTCATTATCTGGCTCTTCATTAGGTCCAGCACAGGTTTATGTGTCTTCTTTCCCCCTGGGAATACTACCTCCTGGTATCTTTTTGAAGGTCCAATCCTCAGAGATAAGCAAAAGGACCCTTCACTAGAATTCCCATTATAGCCGCTTGCTGGAATGCTTGTGGCGGGGACTTTGGGGGTCTGGACTAATGAAAAGAACCATCGGACCCATGCTTTCTCCATGAACATAGGCGTATGTGTAAGGGAAAAAAGAGTTTTCTTCTTCTGCAGGAAGGATGTGTATTTATGTTTGCCAATAAATTGGCAACAAATTAACCCTCTCTATTCACATTATTATAAGGGGAAGACGTGCTTAGATACATGAACTCTGAGAGAACCTCTCTATTCACATTATTATAAGATAGAAAAGTGCTTGTTGGAAATTACATTAACAAACAGTTAAACCTCATTAAGTGGTAATATATCTTTTTATGAGACCTAGATGTCACGAAAGGACAGCCATATGGAAAACTTCTGAGTGACCTCACTATGAATGTTATAAAGAGTTACTTAATCCAAGAAACTTACCTAAGGACAGCAGTAAATTTCCCATTAACAATTACAAGCAACTAATGGTTTAGTAATTAGATGAACATATTATCAAATGTAGGTAACCATTTAGGGAAAATCAGATGTATGATCTCATGTTAACCATATATGGAAAATGTATGATCTCACTGAATCCTTTGTCTTAGAAATGTATAAAAACAGAGATATCACAGCTCTTGGGTTGTTCAAAGCTTCAGGTACAAAACTGGCTATGAACCTTGCACAATAAAACTGTCTCTGGTTGACCCAGGAATGTTGTTTGGTCCCTTCATTCTGCAACAATACCAGTTCATAGACAAATAAACAAAGAAATACATCTTCATGTGTCATTTGGAGAAAGCTTCACTTTCAAACTGTTGGAAAAGATTCAGAGAATAGTAGGGAAAATTTTCAAGAACTATAAATTATATAAAGAGATCAAAGGATGTCAGCATATCTAGCTTTGGAAAAGACCATTGAAATTAGATATGACAGCACATTTCAGTGCTATCACATTGAAGATGATTGATTATGTGCCATCAATAGTTTTCAACTCCTAATGATAATATGAATAAATTTTCTCCATGACATATATTGAAGATGGTCAAGACTTATTCTCTCCCAGTCCAAAGTGGAGAATAAGGACAGTATATTTAAATTATAAAAAGCCAAATTCCATATAAGTGTTTGTGAGGGGACCTCTTATGCAGTAAGATCAGTTTTATAATTGAACAAATTTCCCAGAGAGATTGTTTGTATACATCTATCTGTGTGGCATACTTTGGTTTGGATTCCTGCCTAAATAGGACCTAATTGGTTCCTTTCAGCTTTTGATTTTAAGAACATCATCATAGAACATCTGTGTAGTGCATAGGCGAGAAACTGTAACCTTCCAAATGTTGCTAAACTACAGCAATATCAGTAGGAATCTTATTACTCCTGTTCTATCAATGGTTGTTCTACAATATCTAGAAACTACTTATTCCCCATTCCTGGTTTAGCGGAAATAGTGGTAGTCCTTAACCAAACAGATACCAGATTTTAAATTAAAGTTTAATAATGGCTGTTGCTCTTTAACAAAGTGTGTAATTGGTGACCTCTACTGGCAAATGTAGGAATAATTCAAGCTTTATAATAAAACCTTCTTTTTAAATACTGCTGGGTATTTTTAAGCTCTTGCTTATCTGATTAATATCAATAGCCAAGGATCACAGCTCTACCTCAAATCAAATGAAAAATACAGTGGAAGTATTATCCTGCAACTTGGAAGATGTAAGGGTTTTGTTGAAATTAAATCAAAACAAGATGGACTGGTTGTTGATCCAGAAGCCAACCAATTCCAAGATAGTTTCATTTTTAGCATTAGATTGTGTTGTATACTGCTCCAAAAGGAGCTGGGTTATAATCTAGGGTGGAGGGATATTTGTGAACTCACAGGTCTTGTGGAATCAACAGGCAGAGAGTGTAGTCAGAAAGCCCCTTGTCCACCTTCCGCTAATGTATCAATAATTATTCCTGGAGCAGGATATCATTTGTTTCATGCCCACATTACCTTGCAACTGGAGTGTAATTTGGGGTACATGAAACTATCCCTGCAGACTATCTGGAAACTACAATCGATGTACATTATAGAGAGCTATGTACTAATGATAACTTCTCAATATTCTCACAGAATGCCTGTGCTGCAGGAACTCTATTGGTTACGAGTGCAATTCAGTAAGAACCTATAGTAAGAACCTATGAAGTCCTGTCTGGTTTATAAACTGTATTTCTACAAGTCTACTTGTTTTGAATAGAACACAGCTGACCAATGTGTCTTGATTCAGAGCACTTGTAAATGATACCTGCACTCTATGTGGTGGTACATAAGAAAATTCAGAGTGAATAGTTTATTTTGGCATATATTTTCTATTTTATCATACTTCCAAACTATTTTGATTATCCTGAGTGAAGTGGCATAAAAGTACCTGAAATAAATAAACACATAAAAATAATAAAATTTAATAATAGTATTTTAATTTAATAAAATTTATTTTAGTTTGATTTGAAAGCTCTTAATGTAGAGCCATTAAGCCTATACAGGTAGTTGTCAACTTAAACCATTCATTCAGTGACTGTTCAAAATTCCAATGGTGGGGAACTAAAGGACATCTGACCCATGCCAGAGTTACAGCCTTTGCAGACCACTGCCATTATATGATAAAAAATTGGCATTGGCAGTCTGCCAGCACTTACAACTACAGGGGCACTGCAGCTCCCCCACCTGCCTATCTCCTCCTGCCAATCTCAGTCACCCAACCAGCTCACCAGTGCAAATAAAGGGATCCACTTACTTTCATTGTCAGATTATCCAACTGATTCATGAATCTTACTGAAATGCTACCAGGAACTGATATTAATATATAGTTTCTGAAGGAACAAGTTGTGTAGAAGCAGTATTCCTATAATATTCATTTTGACTACTGTGCATTCTTCACAGAATGGAAGTTGGAAACCAATGCAAGGTTACATGTTAAAAGAAATTTGCAAGCAAAAAATTACTTCTAGAGTTTCATTAAAAGCCTCACTGTTAAGAAGTTGACATGTCTATGGTCTCAAAAATGAAGACAATTTGCTTAGCATTATGACAACAGACAACCTGATTGCATTGACCATGAGTGTCTTCAGTGAGCATTTGAGGGCCAAATGATGCAATTCCACACTTGACTGTGGCCAGATCCTCTGGACTGCAGCATTGACATGATGGCATTATCAATGAAATGTCATGTTGATGTAATCATGGTTTATTGGGGATGCTGCAAATTGTTCTTGACTTGCCAGTCTTAAGATATATTGAGTTTCTTGTTTGTGGAAGAAAAAGTAAGGAACTGACATTTTACCTCATCGTCATGGTTGCCAAATTTGGCTGGGGTCTCCTCTATCCCCACAGATAAATTGCCCTGGGACTAAGAGCTGCAGACTCATCTGTTACGGGGGTGGCAGTTGTCAACCAGCCTTTCCAGCCAGCCTATTTTCATTCTAGGAATGAAGAATTAATACCTCAGGGACAAATTGTTAAAGCTCACTTTTTATGTTTTAAGGATATAAAAAGAAGCTGTTCTCATTCAAATAGTGGCACATAGATTGCTCCTTGCCAAAATGAAAGTTTTCCTTTAGTTTCATCAGATGGCACAGCTTCCTCTAATTATATACCTTACAATGGGAATATGATACAATTAAGCCTAAATTATGTAATCAGTTGCATTGTCTGAAAAAGGCTGCATGTACAAAGAAAGTATTTCCTATTTAATAAGAGGATTACAACAAAGAACCCAATTATGAATAAGGGCCAACGTGGTTTTTAATGAGCTGGATCTGGAGTCTTTTCACTCAGCAAAGGATTGCCCACATGCTGTGTGCAAAAAACAAACAAACCTGTAAATAGAAAGAGACACTGAGAGTGAGAGATTGGTAGAGAGGAATATAAGTCTAAGATAAAATTAGTTTTGACCATTGGGGATCAATTTAAATGGTCCAAAATGTGGAAAATTCTATGATGCTGATTTTCAATCATATTTGTTCACAAATACATATTATTATAGATTTTATAGGAAGAGAGACCCATGTTAGTCTCTGGACACAAAATATCTGGAGTCTGATAGCATTTTTTTTACTAGCATTTTATTAAAAGTTTATATATTGTCTTAATATATCAGTTTATGAAGTGTAAATCCTGGAAAATTAGATGTGCAAGAATGGTTATATGCAGCATTACCTAATCCCAAACTAAATCCCAAATCTTCTTGAGTATATAAAACATCTTGATTTTGTTCCACATTTCCAGTACTATAAACTGGCATGTATTATGTTTAATGCAGTAAAAAAACAGCATCAGACTGTATACGTGTAAAATAACATATACATACACACACACATAAATATATATATATAAGCCAAATACCACTCACTCATCACAAAATCTCCAGAACTGTAAAACCTACAAACCAGGGGTGAAATGCTCCCAGTTCGGACTGGATTGCCCAATCTGGTAGCGATGGAGGCAGGTGGTTCGGAGAACCGGTAGCAAAAATCCCTGCCCCCTGCATGCCCAGCTGAGCTGCACAATCATCAGAGGCTTTTTTTTAACTTTTAAAAGCATTTTTTCTACAACCTCTTCAGCCGAAAAAATGCTTTTAAAAGTAAAAAAAAAAAGCTTCTGATGATCGCG